AGGTTAACAAGCCAACTAAGCTCCTATCTACACTACTCCATTTTGGTTTAAAAACAGAGTTTTAAAACGAATACGCTCTCCGTCCACAGCAACATTTTAGTTGCGCATCAGATATGCGTCTACATTAAAACAACTGAAAACACACATCTAGTGGCCGTTCACGTACACTGGGCATGCACGTGCCCATGTAAACATGAAGCAGACAGTCTATTCCGTAGTTACAGAAGATTAGGCAAAAGAATAAAGTACTACAAATGAAGAATCAAACCAGATTTTTTTTGCATGGACCACGAACGAGCTGGGACTGTTACTGAATGTAAAATGGGGGTTAAAAGCGTCTGTGAAAACAGACTGGGAGTCGTCGCAAAGTAAACGGCGACATGCACAGTTACTTACAAGTGTAGGCTATAAGTGTTATTTGCATGGTTACCCTGGAGTTTTAAAACAAAACCAGGGTCCGCAGCGTTTTCAAACTTCTCTGTTTTAGGTCTACGTTTTCACTGTTTTAGTCTGGACAAGAGGTGCAAACGTAGCAAAAGGTCTCCGTTTTAAACTGAAAACGTAGTAGTGTGGATGGGACCTTAGAACACACAACATGTAAATAAGACAACTTTAGAGTTACCGGGAGTCTAGAGGCCTCCAGCCCCTGCACCAAACAACGCTAACAATTTGTTCTCGGAACACAACGAGACCAAACTGCTGTCAACCCTCCATCAATAGTAAAGAGCCAATGTAATGTTGTGTCACTGTGATTAGTAACTGTAATATAATTACTGAATTTTAAATTTGTAATCCCATAAAAAACTAATTTCTAAAAAAGTAATCACATTAAGATGAGCAGACACTACTAGGCTACATATTTTTTTTTATTAATCTTGTACTTTCTGTTAACTCACACTAGGCCTGACTGTTGTTTTAATTGGCCTGTTGTAACTTTTCTCAGTTGACCGGCCACGACATGGTGCTCACACAGGAAAATAAGGATGGAAACTCTGGTTATTTTTTGTCCGGTAACAATAAAGTTGATTAAAGCAGCACTTGGTAACAAACAGAATGCAAAAACCTCCATGTCTCTCTCTGCTGATTGTGTTACTCTGCTAAGCCCCGCCCACCTAGCCCACAAGCAGGAACTGTTTGCCAGCTCTTCCCGGTGAGAGCCTCGCCAGGAACCTGGTCCCTCTCACCATGACTTGTCTTCCCAAAAGACGCCCCTCCGACACTTTGCAGCCCAGGGCACATTGCCACAAGTTTCAGAAGCAGCTGCAGCAACATCTAACAGCAGGATGAGAGGCTAGTATTTAGCTAGATTATCTGTTTCATTTACCACTGTCAGGATATGGTGACAGTTTTAGCAAATATGACAAAAATTGGGTTAATCGAGTTAATCCATACTGTGTCTGACCAGCTTTAGTGTACCTTATTACTAAGTAATGCTGATGACATGTTTTGTATATAAGATAGTATAAAGTGGCATGAATGGAAATACTCAAGTAAAGTACAAGTGTCTCAAATTTGTATCATTAAAGTAAATGTACATGGCTTCATTCCACAGGTGATAGTTAGTGTTGTTTTCAAATTGCTCTCCTTTTGAATTTTCATTTTTCTGCACAACCCATTAGCCCTCCTATGATACCTATCAGCTCTGTACTTATTGTACCTTACAGTTGTGTTCTGATGGACTCCAGTTAAGTAAATGCATCACAGTGGGAGCTGCCACATCCTTACAGTGAAGACGCCAGAAACCTAAAAATGAATGACTCCAGCGATCACTTGAGGTTTCACAGGCAGTTTCTCCCTCCCTCCATGCTGCCGGGACTTAGAACACCAGGGAGATAAAAATCAAATTTTTGCAAATGGGATTAAGGCACATACAATAACAAAAAGAGGAATGAATGGGCTTACTGTATTAAACAAAAGATGTACCTGATAGTCCCCGTGTGGTTTCTGCTCAACATATTTCTATAAATGGTGGACGGCTTGGAGACGCCTTGAACACAGATCCATTTAGCTCTGAAGGAGGATTAGTCATTTGTGAGCCAAACTACTGTTTAAACTTGTCCGAATAAAAGTCTCTATTTTGAGACTGGAGTGCCCACAATGGGTGAAATATTTTGCGGGAATTCAGTTTGTACTGGCATACGACATGCAGCTTTGTGCATATATCAATAGCTAACCACACGACTTTAATTTGTGCATCAAATATCTATCTCAATCAACTTTATTTTTACATTGACAGGCTCATATATTGTGCAGCTGAAATGCAAAAAGGGCAACAATTATCTCTCACAGCCTTGAAATTCCTCCAAGCTTCATGAATCAAAAATTTGCTCAAATATGTTGTGTTTTTAGTATTGAGGTAATTTACTGTAATTTTGTTGCAAAAAAATAAAAATACTGTCGGGTGTAAACCTTAAAGAAAATGCACAGTAAACAGGACCCTTGAGTATGTTTCTAACAACCTCCTCAACCTAGCTGTTAAACCATGTGTGTCTGTGTTATATTGGGTTGAGAAGGGAAAACGCTCTATGCCTCCTCTGCTTAAGGTGAAGGGCAAAGGGTGATAGGAGTTGCCAGTTCTCACCACAGTTTCCTCTCTTAAGTAGCTCTGATGCTGCAATAACACCAACGTGCCAAAAAACAAGACGATACTAAAGGAAGGGCTACAAGACATTTTCAACTTGTCCAGACCATTTAAAACTTGAACCCAAATGTCACACGCCCGCATCTCAGTTGCATTTCAGGATTATATCATGTGCACGTGATGATTTGTAAGTGACAAGTATAATCTCTTGGATAACTTGATGGATAAGCAGATAGAGAGAAAGACAATGAGCAGACCTCATCATGAATTAGAGAGAAAAGAGAGAAGAGACCCATTGGCCATTCCTAAACCACAGGTATGATTTACAGAGCAGGGTTGGTCGTCTGTGTAAAATTAATAATAGGAAATGCAAGGGCAGTCCAGTGACTAGTCCAAGATATACTTTCCCTGGCTCTCCAGACCCCTGGAAAACCTGGGTGGCCTGCAACCGGGCTTCCTCTGGTTTCTGATGTTAATGTCATTGCTTTTGCTGGTATGACAGGAGCTTCACCACAAGCGTGGTTTGGGTCAGACAAAAGGGACAAGCTGTGATAGCAGGATACAGCTCCATAATTCAGAAAAAAAAAAGAAATTCACTCTGCGTTTATCTGGGTATTTTTGTCCCACGGTGGAGTTTGTTGCCACGGATAGGGAAGGAATGAAGAGGAGGGTGAAATTTTTCAAATCCGATTGTTTTTAAGTACTTCACTTTTCCAGAAATCAGAAACCACACAGTGTATTATGGTTAGTGGATGTTTTGAATTACTTCAGCTACTTAATGGTTCCTCCTTACCCAGCCCACAGAATTGTTTCATAGTGGTTTTAAAACTTTGCTTAAGTCATTGAGTTGGATGTTGAGTAATCTGCTTTCTAAACCTACCCTTCATACTAAAGCACGTAGGTTGTTCACTTTATATTAAGTCTACAGTGCATTTAATATGATGTAACATTAAGAGCAAGAAACCTCACATTACTGTTATTAGGTAAAAATGCCACCGAAAAGAGAGCCTTGTAATAGTTTTTAAATGTTTTCAGTGGCGTTTTTAACCATAAAGTGAAGTTTTCTCAAGCTACAGAGGGGCGTGAAATTGTGATTGAAATGTAAATGTGAAACTTAGTGTGTACATATATTTTACAAGGGTCATAAATAAGTTTAAATTAAGCTGAGAATAGTTTGCAAAATCCTTACAAAAAGTGCAGTGAGTCAAAGTAAGTGAGAACAGCCCTGCTGGTACTTGTCTCTGTGTTAACCCTGCTCAAGTTGGCACCATTTTGAGAATCCCCTGTTTTCTGAAATAACAGAGGATCTAAGGCCCATTACTCTATATACAGAGTATTGTAAAGAGGTAAGGGGAGGCGGGTGGAACATTTTGTAAATCTTGTGTCACTAAAACCGCCGCAAGCAGGATGAATGCGTTAACTTCGCCAACAGGATATCCCCTCAGACTTGCTCACTGCGTCGCTGATGAGGATAACAGAGGGGGCATTATTTTTGCTCAACAGCTCGGCAAGGTGATAAAGGGCTCCCAGATCCTCTCACAGGGGTGCAGCGCTACGCACACATCCATTCACGTTGACGCAACATTTCATCTCCCCGACTACAAGGGGGTTCTCTGGATTTAACTCCTAAAACAGGGCCATGGCCAACCAGACTGGGGTCAGGAGGAAACATTTCTAAACATACAGACACATCCCTTATAAAAATGTCTTCATAATAACATAATTTGGCAGAAGTTAGACATGTAGTTGGAGAGTTTTGACTATACTGAATATCAAACATGTCTGCATTTTCCATTTGTACTGATGTTCTTGCAAAACTGTGGTCATATTTTTTCCTGTTTGTAGAGAATAAAGTGCAATGCTTATGAAAAACTAAGCTGTAAAGGTTATATGATGTGTATAAAGAGTAAATGGCCCTGCATGTGGTAATTTTATTTTCTCATATGCTCATATGTTATTTTATTCACGTCCTGCAGGGTCTAATAATATTTTTTTTGCAACTTCATTGAACTGATTTGTAATATTCATTTTTCTTAGCATATTAGCATGGGCTATAAATGCTGTGGTTTGTGACTGTTCTACCAGGTGTTTGACAACATAAAGGAAAGGATCCCTGTCCCTATTGTGTTTGCCAGCTGAAACCATCTACTGCATGGACTCCAAAACTTTTTTTTACCTACACCAAAATATGTAAAAATAAAGCCCAGGTTTAAAAACTACCGAAATTACCATGTAATTCAGTCAGCTATGTCACAATATGCAGTAGAACAGATGCTTGTGGGTCATAAAATTATCAGGTTTAAGAGAAATGTAGCATTTTGGCCATTTGAAACCCATAAGAAACCTTGTCTAAACGAAAAAGAAACAATCAGGTGGACAGTTGATAGCCGGAGTCCAAGTATGTAAAAAAAAAAAAAAATTAAACTGCTGATTGGCATGGGGACAAGAGCTAGCAGAGGTAACTTACTAACTAACAGGTGTGTGAGGGGCTGCCAAACAAATATGGCAACCTTTGTGCTGAGTTTAAAAACTGTTGTGGTCACTGGTCACGCTGAGATCAACGTCAGTCTTTTAAAAAACAAAGTTTCTGAGCTAAGCAAGCAACCGCGCTAATGCTAAACTAGCGCCTTTTCCACCGACTTTTGACTGGGGTAGCTCATCAAGCTAGCTGACACTTGATGACACGTCCCCGTGGATATCAACGGGACCAACGGGCGGATCTCAACCGCTGCTGATGAGCTGTTTCTCAGCAAACAGCCGTTTCCAGCGTCAATGGACTGAAATACTTAACTGCTGTGATGTGAGTAGGCCTAACCCACTTTCTATAAGTCATGAAATGCAGTCATCATCATGTAAATGTATTTTTTTAAAGTGTGGGTTTAATGTGCTAGTTTAATGATTCAGTTAGTGGAACTTTCATGTGTTTAATGTGTAACTTAAGCCTATTTACCATGAATTTTGCATGTCATGAAATTTAAAAGCATATTAGGGTAAGTGGAGGTTACAGTACACTCTGCAAGTAACGTTACTTCTACACACTGTGTTGTGAGAGATTTTCAATGTATTAGTAAGAGTAAAGGGTTGATTGTGTATTTACCCAGTACAGTTTTTCTTTTGACCTGCCAGGAACAATATTTCATATTCATTTTGGCATTCAATTTTGATTTCATAAAAAACTATTTTTAGAATAAGTGTAGGGTTTGATATTGTTGTTGTAATCCAGGGCAGTAAGAGTGTAGTCCTCTTTATATCCTACACAGTGGGGGATTTTATTTGTCCACCCAATAGTTTGTTACCAGCTGTTCACAAGGCCAACAAGAGCAGGAGCTTAGCTTCTTTCTGTTGTGTCGGTATGGGCTGTGAAAGTCTGAACATTTTCAAATTGTCACAGTACCAATGACAACAAGACAAACTCTATTGTCTCTTGTACTTGGTGATTAAAATGAATGATTCCTGTTATGACTGGTAACCCCGTTTTACTTCCCTTCTATCCACTAGCAAGTGCGAATACTTTCATTGTGAGGAGCAGTTTTCACTCTCGTTTAGTGTTGGATGCATAGAGATTTGCAGTACCTGAACTTCCCCATGTGTTTGTTGCTTATGTTGAAGATTAAATGTTATTTCAAATAAGTCAGTTAAGGTAGGCTTCTGGTGGTGCAGGTTTCATTTGTTAGGAAAATTCTAGCGGCACTAAGAGGGTCATATTTGTGGGAATCTTGACATTTTGTGTTTTTGTGGTGACAACATTGTGGGATAAGTTGATGGACTCTGTGGTCCAAATCCATCTGTTTCAAAATACAGCAAAAAAATCTAATCAAGTTTCTATATTTTGGCAGGCACTTTGCTTTGCAGGTCTTCACATTCTTGGTCTATGCTAGGTTTGCAAGCAACTATATTTGGTTCTTAACATGCAAGTTTTTTTATTTATATTTCCTTGCCCTGTAGTAGTGCTACCAAAACCATTTTGCTGCTTTTTGGCTATTTTGAAATGTAATTTATTAAGACATATTTTTCTTTTTTTCTCTGACTGTGCAATAGTCAGCATCTGTTCATGTCATGTGCTGCAAGTAGATACATAGTAGCCAGTGGGAAGGGGGAAAGAGACTGAGTAGCCCATGCATTAGCCTGGTGAGCTAATGGTCAGTAAAGGATGCAATAGAGCCAAAATGTAACATCGGGTCACTTTTAGGCCCGTGTAGAACCCTTTAGCTGTTGTAAGCAGATATCCAGTAATACAGAGCATCACTTGTACAGTAAGAACTACATCTGCATTCAAAATTAATCTGAATATCCAAAAGTTGTTGAATTCAGGTTGAGGTTTACTCCAGAAAGAAGCTAGCTAACATTGTTTGAAAGGTCTATATTCAATTGTCTTTTAAGCATTAGGCTAATTACTCACACCTGCATGAGTATTCCACCTATGCGTCCACATGTGTGCTCTAAGTGTCTTCCTTTAAAATCATGCTTTGCTTCCACAACTGTTCTACTTCTCTACTTTTCTACTTTTCTACTTCTACTTTTCTAAAATGCTTAACTGTAGAAACGTCAGCACTGATTTACTAAAAGTTCAATAATGAGGCCTCCCCATCTTTGCCATAACTCACATGACTTGTCAAAGGGAGCTGCTCTCAATTATAGTGAAGGTGGTAGAACATAACGCTTCCTTTATAGCCCTGAAATCATTTCACAGGCTCTGGTAGCGCTGGCATAATTTTAAAAAGCTTAGGTCTGAGGTAGCCTATTAAAAATACTCATAAACATTAATTTTGCCAGTGGGATATGAGATTGTGTTACCCTCTTGGCAGAAATGAGTAAAAAATGTGTGGTTTTGCATTGGCTAAAATAGTTCCCAGCCCTCGCTTCCTTTGAAAAGTGCATAATCTAGACTATGACTGTTTGTCAACTCAAGAAATTGGGCTCAACCCAGTCACCACGTGTCTTGTCATGATGTTGATGGTGGTCGTGTCAACATAAAACCCTGCAAATCTGAGGGAGGTTACCAAGCCAGAGAAATGTGCTGACTGATTAGTGCAGCACATTTCATATATACTAAAACCAAAAGATAAATAAAACGCGAGAGATGAAGGGCAGAACGTTACTGAGACATCTCCAGTACAGTGACCTGTTTGAAAATGGTTTTCAACCATTATTGTTTTAGGTTTTGGCCTTTGAGAACTTTCTTAAAAAAGAAATAATAAAAATACCCTTCTGTCCCTCACAATAATTTAATATCTGCAGATACTTGTAACAGTAACAACTGTTTTGCATTTAAAGCACACACATTTCAATTACCATGTAGGGCCAGACTGAACTATCAACTGTTACTCTTACTGAAACCTAATCCAAAGTCATAGCCTGGTTCAAGACCTACTGATTTGTGGAGCGAGTCAAATAGCTCTGATGTTGTGCTCATTTACAGCTTTTTACAGCCTCTTGGAGAAACAGTGCTTTGAAGGCAGGATTAAGAATGCATATTATCTTCTTGCATAGCTAGCTAGCAGAGACAACAACTCAGAGAGGTGCATATGTATTTCATTGTTTGCATGACATTACCTAAACTGCAACTAGCAACTGCTACCACAACTTCTGTGTCAACTAAAAAATGACATTTGCAGATGGATCACTCCCACTGACTCACTACCAACACTAGCTAGGGGTCAGCAGGGTAAAGTAGCAACATGTTCTTTGGGTTTATGGGTAATGCAGTCTTAATTTTGACAACCAGTTCCACCACCTATATCAGTTAACGCTAATAGCACGAACGTCTCATAATAAACTTGTCATTTTAGAAATGTTCTGTTTTCAGCATTTCACTGCGATCTTAAAATACGCCTCGTAATTTCAATTTCAGGTGCTGTGACCATGTGGAGAGCGGGTCAGAATGATGTGAGGAGTCAGATATATGAGCAGTTCTGTGGTAAAAGGGGCTTGGCTTCCTGGCACACACTAGGTACACCCTATTGATGCTCAGCCAGCAGTCTGACCTACGGCGGGTCAAATTTATGGGTAGATATTTAGCTTGTCTCTGCCACTCTGTAGGGCAGAAAGAATAACATCGTGCCTCTCTGCTGGTCACGCTTGGAGCCCGCTGATGTTTCCCCTCAGAGGAACCAGCCTGGCTGCACATCACAGATTTGCTGAGAGTAAACTGACAATGTCAAAAACACTCCGTCAATCTCCTTTTCAAACTTAGCGTGTGGTTTACAGCTTCATTTTATCATTATGTTTGTGAACAGTTTGGTTTCGGACCTTTGTTTTGAATTTGGTTGCCATAACAAAATCATGTTTATTACTCTGATCAAACCAGCAAAATTATTTCCATTTACGTCTGTAGAATCAACATAACCTTTTCATAATTATTAATATATCAGTGACACAAAGTGTTATACTAGTTAAATGACCTTTTCTGGATTATTTACCTTGATCTTTCTTTGTCAGTCTTTTGCAACCTGAAACGCTGATGATAATAAAACAGGAAACAGTCACAATGTGTCATTGTCAGAATAAGGAAGTAAAGCTGCTGCGGTATCAATATAGTTTTCTCCAGAAATTATGAGTTACTAGTCAACAGTTAAATGACCTTTAAGAATGCTCTTATTTTACCACCAACACAGGAAGGCACAGAGTATTTAAACAAACACTTAATATTATATTAAATACTGAGACACATCATTACTAACCCCTCAGCATGTTTATAGATCACACCTCCACCATCCATCTCTGGAGCAGACATTTTTTTTTTATTATTTAGTATGAAATTACATATAGCGTACAAATGGGGAAGTACCGTTTTTATTTTCCTGTTACATGAACCTTGGAACATGTTGCCTTCCAGCTGCTCCAGCAGCTCAACCCCAAAAGTAGTTTCACTTCTCTATGGCTCAAGTTTTCGTTTAAGTTGCAAAATACCTAGTGAGCTCGTTGGTACAATAACTCTCTCCCAAACCACATGTTACTCTGAATGCAGGACTTGAAATCACTGACATGAGGGATCTGGCTTGCTTACTTGCAAGACCTTCAGTGTTACTGTACTTAAACTGAACTACTGTTTATTGAGTTCCACCGTATAATTACATTTACCTGTAATGCCTAAAGTGAAAGTCCTCAATTATCTGTAATGCATAAAGTGGGAATCTTTTTGCAAAGCACTTATTGTTGCTGCTGTTGTGTTTTTCTACTGCGCTTCCCAGAGTGAAAGATCACTGTGTCTGGCTCTTTGCTGAGTTTTCCTGTTGATGAAGTTTGACTTTCTTTAAGTGGTGCTCGTTTGTTCATCCATGGTGGATGTTGCTGCTCATACAAACTACCTGAATTTATGCAGCATCTCCTATCCTGCCCCTGAGGCCTTCGGTATGCTTCAATTGAAATGCTTGTCAGATCATCTAACAGATGAAACCCTCTCCCACCACATCTTTCCAACATCGAAACTGGGGAGGTGGTCACTTTTTGTAACTTCCTGAAACCAACAACCAAGCCAACTTCACATGGTCTTTGAGGAGAGACTGCCCAAAATACCTCCGTGTGTAGCCATACAGAACAGCTACAAACACTTTTGCCTTTGGACACGGTGAGATGAGACGTAATGCGAACTTCAAGCATTGCCCCACTTTGAAACATTGCATTGACGTCTTCCATAACGCTACAATTATCGCAATGAAGGGTAAAATTATTGTTTCTGTTCTAACTTTCCATAGTTGTTAAATCCTTTCTGGTAGTCTTATAAATTGCTGTGCACTGTTCAAGTCTTCATACTCATGGATCTGTCACCCAAACTAGCCTTCCTGGATTGCATTTTATTGT